GAAAAAATGATAATAATTTTTCCCATTCATTTGGAGTAATTTTGTTATTTTTTGATGAGTTGTAAAGACTTACTATTGTTAAATTTGTTTTTTCAAGAACAACTGCACACACTTCAATTTTTTTATTATATAACGTGTTTATTTGAATTTCTTTATATGTGATGTTTTTAGAAATGAGAATAGCTACTCCTCCGTGTTCGTCTTTTCTATCTTTACTAATTAAATTGTATCCTTTGATATAAAAATTGCTGTGTTTTTTAAACCAGGTCTCAGATAAAACAATAACATTTACTTTATTATTTGATAAATAATGTAATAAATTAGGGCGTTGTTTTACAATGGAACGAGAATTCCACTGCAAAACTGATAATGTTTCAGTAAGAGGATTTAGCGGATTCATTGTCACTGAAATCCATATCGCTATTTGATTCTAAGATTGTAGATATTTTGTCTCTTATATTATTATCAAGCTGATTGGTAACTCCTTTAAATGTTGGTTCATTAACTAAAAGTGAGTGAACACACTGTATAATGTTTTCGATTATATGTTCTTTAATGTTTTTATATTTTAAATATTCTTCCCTATAGGGGTTGGGGGTTATTGGTTGAGAGGGATAGGAGGGTCTACTCTGATAGATTTCAATTGAAGGACTTTGTAGGGGAGATGACGATTTTCGTTTTTTAGGAAGAGGCAGAACAGTCGTTTTTTGTAATTTATTTTTTTTTATTATAGTTGTTTTTTTATTGGGGTTAGTTAAAATATTTTGACTTCTAGAGCTAGTACTTGTATCTGGAAGGGAGGGAAAATTCTCCTCCGTTGTAAGTAATGAAAATCTGTTTTTTGTTGTTATTTTAGCATAGGATGGGTTATTAGCTATAGCTTCGGCTTCCTTAAAGGATGTATTTTCCACAGCCATAATTGATTTTATGTTTTTTTGTTTTTGATACATAGGACACTCTCTAGATATCGAAGTATGATCGGGACTATTACAATGTACACAAATTTTTTCATTTTCACAATTCTCAGATGAACAGTTTTGCTGACTACAATTCTGGCATTTGCGTTTCCCTTTACATTGCTTATTTGTGTGACCATATCGAAGACAATTAAAACATTGGACGACCGGATAAATATACGGATCAACTACGAAATTTACCATGTTAATTTTTACCGTTTTCGGTATTGTATTTCCCAAAAAAGTAACAAAAACCATTTGCCTATCAACAAAAGTAATTTCCTTAGTAATATCATTAATAGTTTTTCTTTTTAATCGTTTAACCGAGATGACTTTAATAATAGATTCTATATTTTCTTTTATATAATCTTCACTAAAATAAGTATCGACCATTTTAATTACGCCTTTTTTTTGTGTGAAGAAAGTGGGGATGTATGCTATTAAATTATTTTGTTTTATTATATCGTGTTCAACTAAGGAGTTGGCAATTTCGTAATTTCTAAAAATTATTTTAACTTTGTTTAATCCAATTGCTTTAATGTCCTCAATGTTATTTTTAAAAGTATCAATATTCCGCAAAAAATGTCCAATTCTAATTGGAAAAAGGCGACCTATGTTTTTTTCTCGGTGTTCTATGTGTACATAGTAAGGTCCGCGGTCGTTAATTCGATATCTATTGCTAAGGTCGAAATGAAATTGATTTTCTGCTTGTAATGTGATATCAGAATTAATTTGGGGCGGCGGCTCGCCGCCCGAAGAGCTACTCATTTTTTGAATTAAAAATAAACTAAATTTTTTAACTTTACCAAAGTATCAAATAAATTAAATTAAAGTGAATTAATGTAAAGAATACCGGTTACTTATCTTTAGGGATCTATCGCTTATCGGGTACCACTTAAACACATCCGTACACTTCGAGTGTTCGAACTAAACTGCTATATTCACTTGATGAGACATTATTTACGGATATTATTAAAGATATCACTGTAATATGGACATCCAAGATTTTGTCTAGATTCCACATGTTTTTTTTCTTCTTTTAACACATGCTCGTTTGCCTTTTGCCGATGTTCCTTCGTAACAAGTGATATGGGGGTTTTTTATACTGCTTCTACATCTTTATATTCAGGTCTTTTTTGAGAAATCTTAGTAAAGCTAAAATATCTGTACCTTTTCTTGGTCTTTTGTTTAATAACATTTACTTAAATAACTTAAAATAAACTCCTAGCCACTCGAACTTAGGCAAAATTTAAAGTTTATTATTTTCAACAAGAATGCAAATTTTTGAACGCGGCTTACAGATTTTAAGAGCTAGCTTTTTTCGGATAAGGCTGCATTACTTATATTTATCGTAGGTTTATTATATCATTGAAGTCATGCAAGAAATCAAAAAGTTTGTATGAGTGAAATTTTGGCAAAAAAATTTTTTGATCGTTGCAAAATGGTTCGTTACTAAGGTAACATCAATATCTCTGGACATTTTTGTCAGTTTTTTTAAATAAGGGTCTTAGGTCTTGTACACACTACTAAACATAAAATTTGGGTAGCAAAATTTTTAGAGTGCTATAACTTGACATTGGATTAAAGGTTCTTGATGATTTTTACAGATTTGGAATCATTATTTCACGTAGATTTTCTGTGGTCTGAGCATTATATTCGAGAATTGAAATTTACACATTATACCGGGTCGATTATAGACAAAAAGGTAACGAAAAGAATAAGTTTATTACATTATATTCTACAATATACAAGATTGGTTAACAACGGCCAAAAGTCAATTTAAAGCTTCCTGCAATCCTTAAGAAAACACGGTGTACTGTAATAACAAAGATTAGGTATGTATGGATAGGGATACCTAGTGGTAATTGGTATTGGTAATTTTTAATAAATAAAATAAAATTGGCTTGAAAAACATAAATTGTCCATTAATTTTTTGTTTTGAACCCACTGCATCAAAGATGGGAATTGCAACGTTGCATTTTCGGAGTTTACAATGAAATTATGTTATTGTTGGCAACAGCGTGTTAAAAGGACGAGGTCACTGAAAGCAACCGGCAAATGTCAATGAAAAAATTCCAAATGTCCTATCTTTAAATACCATATACATTTATCTGAAATTATAAAAAAGAGAAATTAATATTTTGTTGGTCCTCCTGCTCGACGCATTACTTCCTGACATCGATTTGGTAGAGTATCCACAAGATTATTTAAAAATCTTGTGGAATATTTTCCCATTCTTCACAAATGGCCTCATAAGCGTTTCTAAGGTTTACTTTTGCTTGAAGTTTTAAATAAGACCAAACATATTAGATGACATTAAGTTTCGGAGACTTTTCAGGCCAGTCCATCCTATTGATCTTCTGTGCCTGCAAAAACTCTGTGATCCTTCGCGCTCTGTGAGGTCGAGTGGTATCATCTACCAATAGAAATTCGTGGTCATAATTTTGAGCAAAAGAAACAACAATAGGTTCCAAAATTTCCTCCTGATAAACAGTAACGTTAACTGTTTGGTTGGTAATGAATAGCTCGGTTTTACCATTTCTTATGGTACCTTCCCACACTGTAACACCTCCGCCACCAACTGCCTCTTGAGGGGTCATATTTTCCTCCAAATACCGCTGATTTGGCCCTCTCCAAACTAACATTCGGCCATCGGAGTGAATTAAATTAAATCTTGTTTCGTCAGTAAATAATATTCGCTCTATGGTGTTTTAATAACCGCCCACATTTTGCTCTGCGACGGGCTCTATAATTTAAAAGGTTTGACATTATGTTTTGAAAAAAAAAAATCTCACCTTAAGTTGTTTTTATTTAATGTTCTTCTCACTGTTCTGTCCAAAACTCTCACCTTAAGGAGTCATTAAGTTTTCTAGAGTTCTATGTTTTAATCTCCATAGCTTCTCTCATTAAAATTCTTTCGGTTCTTTGGTTTATTTCTTTTATATGTTTCACGGTTCAAATTATAAATTGTCATTCGGCTGACATTGTAAATGTGCGCAATTTGCTTTTTTGACATTTCTTCGTCGAATGCAATATTCCCTTTCTGCCGTGGTTAAACGCCTCATATTAATTAAAATTTACAAAATTATAACATTGAAATGTGTCAGATTATTTTTAAAATAATGTTAACAGTTTTTAATTCCATTGCAACAAATTTGTTTTTCCAATGCCTACTTTGAAATTCACTTGTCGCGTAGAAATTCCAGCCGATCATAAATATGGGCATGGGGGTGGACAAGGAACTCTGTAAAACTGAATGACTCTTTGAGACAAGAAACTGGGGACGTTAAATAAAAACAACTTGAGGTGAGAATATATTTTTACAAAAAATAAATAATGCGAAAACTTAGAGTGCATCGTATGCTACATTTTTGTCTATTATCGACGCAGTATAATGTGTAAATTTCAGATCTAAAATAAAATGTTTAGATCACAAAAAATCTACGTGAAATAAGGATTCCAAATCCGCAAAAGTCATCAAGAACCGTCAATCCAGTGTCAAGTTATAGCATTTTAAAAATTTTGCTACCCAAATTTTATGCTTAATAGTGTGTACAAGATCTAAGGGTCTTAATCCAAAAACTAACAAAAATATCTAGAGATATTGATGTTACCTTAGTAACAAACCATATTGCAACGACCAAAAAAATTTTTTGCAAAAATGTCACTCATACAAACTTTTTGGATTTTTTGCATGACTTCATTGATCGCCCCATATATAATAAACCTATGATCCTACAATAAATATGCGTCATGCAGCTTAATCTTAAAAAAACTGGCTCTTAAAATCTGCAAGCCACGTTCAAAAATTTGCAATCCTGTTTAAAATATTGAACTTTAAACTTTGCCTAAAAATCTCTATGTGTAAATTCGAGTGGCCTGCAGTTTAGATTTAGACCCGCGAACAGGTCAAACTTCTTTGAATATAATTTGCACTGGGTAATTTTTAGAAAATACGTAATATTAATTTTTTGAACTAAGTCACATTGACCTAATTAATATCAGTAAAATTTAATTAAAATCAAGTAAAATTGGTACACTTACCTCGTATAACCAAATCATTGATAAAAACATGGTCATTAACCACGATACAGAAAAATTGTAAAATACATTTCCTCCTAATATAGCAGAAATTGCTCTAAATAAGCTCAAAACTCTTCGTCGGCCAGGTGCCGAATCGAAAATAACTCCCTTAATCTAAAAAAGAAGTACATATATATTTTGTTTTAATAAATAAATTGTTTAGTATCATTACTTCAACCTACAACTATTCATTTTTTTTTAATAACCCCGAACAACCTTGCAACGTGCGATGTTATAGATATGATTTATACATTATTATTATTCCATTAGAATTATTACATTACATATTATTGTGTAACTGTTCGTTATTTCAATTTGAGTTATAGATATGCAAACAAGTTTCAGCTAAAAGTTATATGGAATTGAACAGGTATGTGTTGTGTCGCAGCAGGCCTGAGTGCACTTACAAGTCACAGGGTAGTTCTTGGTTACTCTCGAGTAACGCAATAACAGTAGCGAAGGTTATCAGTAGACAGTTGACGTTTGCGCTATCGAAGATCTATGCCGTCAATGCTTAACAAATGGATCGCGATCAAATTAAGAAATCGATGTTTAATTTATACCTTTTATTTGAGTTATAAGTTTGGAGTTATTTTGTACTGTATAGTGTTTTTACTATTAAAACAAACACTTGGTGGCGAGAAGAGTACGATTTTACGAAGATATATTATAATTACAGATAATAATGAAGTGACTACAACATCAGTTTAGTTCAGTTTTAACCATAGAACATTTTGAAAAAAATACAAAATGCCAGTGAAGGTTATACAGTAAGGACTCGTCCGAAGTGTAACCAGGGAAACATGATCAGGCGGCTCTTAACTTGACGAAAGAATGGTGCTGCACAACGTTCTACTAGAAAATATTTTATGTTAAACGTATTTGATTTTATGTTATTACGCCTTCTGGATTCGGGTGCATCAAAGGCAATTGTAGGTAGTACTGGGTGGAAATTTTTGCAGACTTTAAGTTTAGAGGCAGACAGTACAAAGAAAACTAGTTGTATGGTTGCGAATTGACAGATGTGTTAATGTATTGGTGAGTGTCTGGTTTCTTTTTCTCTACGAGAACAATTGAAGATTATTCCTGTTTTAGTAGTGTTGGATGTTCCATCTGTTCTCATTCTAGGTGCTGATATTTGAAGAATAATGCGAGTTGTACGGGATTTGATAATGAGTGGCATTTTTCAGAGTCGTCCGTTGCTACTGCCACCGTCGTAGATTATCCTAGGAGTGGTTATACGCTTGGTGATTTGCAGAAAGCTCCTTCGGATGCTGTAATTGAAAATAATAAAGTTTTAATGGAAACTAGTTTAGGGTGTTCTAATGTTGCTAAACAAACAATTGCTTGTCATTCTTCGTCCATTAAGCAAAAATATTACCCAGTTTCTCCAGTGATATTAATAACGAATTGGTGGCATTGAGAAATCTAGAAGCCCTTGGAGATAACCAAGTCTATTGGTAAAATAGAGGGATGGTACTTTCTGCGTTTGCGTGGATTATCGCAAGTTGAACGGTGTAACTAAAAGGGATAGCTGTCCTTTTTTCTTATATTACCAATACTTTGGACAAACTTCGCAATGCCCACTATTTATCCACCTTGGATAATAAATCTGCATATCGGCAGGTGAAAGTGGCTGTCTTTAAGACCTTTTCAGCTTTTACTGTTCCTGTACGTGGGTTATTTCAGTTTAACCGAATGCTCTTTGGTCTCCATAATGTGCTGGTGGCAACACCTTATCGACCAAGTTCTTGGACCCGTTTTCATCTATCTAGACGATATCCTAATCGTAACTTAGACCTTTGAAAAACATTTAGTTATTTTAGGGAAAATTTAAGGCGTATTAGGGAAGCTATTTTGATTTTTAGTTAGAATAAGTGTTATTTTTGTCGTATTTAGGTTATGGTATAGAAGGGACTGGGCTTCATGTGAATCCTGACAAACTCAAGCCAATGTTACCTACGCCGAAATGTGTAGAAGTTGTGAGTGGTATGATAGGAACTTTCTCGTAGTACCGCATTTTTATTCTTGATTTCTTCACTTTGATTTCTCCAATTACAGCATTATTGCGTAAGGGAAAAAGGTTTGCTTAGACACCAGAGTGTGATGTATCATCTATTAAAAACTAGCGGTATATATTGACAATATTGACGACATTCCTGTATTGCAAATTGTTATTTTTAATATTTTTTTTTATTATTAATGACAGGAGTATGTAATTTATTCATATTACCTAAGTTGTACAAAAAAGTGCCAAAAAAATGTTCTAGGTATAAAGCGCTAAGTGCCACGGCTATTAAATTAATTAATAGTGAGTATCCCCATATACGACAAGGGTCGTACTAAGGAGTACAGAGCTTTAACCACTTAAATTGTAAAAACAACATCAGGGGTTATAAACATTGAGACCCTCGCTACAACCCTCGCTACAACCTTCACTGAACGTTGCAGAGTTCATTTGGCAGGTTACATAATAATTTGTTAGTATCGTTGGATAAGTATTGCACTTCAAAAAACTGAAGTACCTAAGTAAATTAAACTTAAAATGAGTCTTATTTATATTATGATCGGTTTCTTTATAGGATCTACATCATTCTCTAATTTCACAAAAAAATTAATTGTTTGGCAAACTTGAAATATTATGGTGCAATTTAAAACATTTTTAATTTTTTTGTTTTCCAGGCAAAAACGTAATTCTCTGTATATCCAAAAACTTTTTTGTTTGTTTGTTTATTTGTTTGTTTGTTTGTTTGATTGTTTGTTTGTGTATAACATAAATAATTGGATTGTCGAGCAATTACACACATTTATTTTAGAATTCTTCAAGGATATGAATATAATCAAGCTACTGTATACACGGTGAACCAAAAAACTGAGCTTATTTGTTTTTTATAATTTTATGCTTTAGTAAAAAAATAATTTTTTACATTTTATTTGCAAGAAATATTCTCAAGTGTGGGTTCCATAAAATGAACTTAAATTAATTAGAATTAGAACATTGTACAGGGTAGGCTAAAATAAGAAGTTACTTTCGGCGACTCGCAAAATTGAAAGTTTTTTTTTACCATTTATTGGAAATTATTTGATATTTCATTCGATATTTATAGTTTATAGCTAAATATCACTGCTTTTATTTAGTTGGTCATAGAAGCAATTTTATAAAATAAAACAAAATTATATTTTGATTAAAAAAAATATATCCTAAATTTGTCAAAAAACATTACTATCAGAAAAGCTTACTATTTAATAATAATTTAAAAAAATCATTTTAAAACTGTTTCTTATTAGGTCTATCTAATTTTTATTAGAAAATTTCATGATACCCCCAAAAACAAAGGTAGATTATTTTATTCTACTACTATGTAAATTATAAGCCACTGACGTGAACTCTTCATATATGAAAAACATCAATAAATAAAAATACACTATTATAGTAACTTACCGGAAGTTCTTTCGGGTTTTTATCCAATGCTAGTGAAAAATTCTGATACAGAAAAGCTCCACCATTGGAAAAGACATGGACTATAATTGGATGACTGTCAAAATTTAAGTCATACAAAAGTTTAACTAATTTTTCTCCTATGGAAACCATTTGGTATCTTTTTAAAAACATGCATTTTATTGGAGCTGTGTACCTCAATGTAATAAGCCTAAAAATATACATATTTATTTATAATGAATAATAATATTCCATCAGATGGTGACAGGTTTAGGTGCCCCATTTTCGCATACAAACTCGAAGAATGTTGAAAAGTACATCGATTTTATGTAGAATAAAAGGAAATTTACGAGTGGCTGCTGGAGATAACATATTATGTAAAATTCGATATTCCCTAACAAAAACGAAAGTTTATTTATAATTAATTATGATTAATTAATAAAACTAGGCTTCGGAAAACCAAAGGCTTTAATGTTGCAAGTGGCTAAAGGGTTGGAATAGGGGCGTAATCTTCTAAGGAAAAATCGCGATTTTGCTTGATTTTTCCACACAAGCCGAATGTTTGAAAACGTACGTCGTCACTAGTCCGAAAAACATATTTTCTTGAATGATCCGAATGGTATAAGTGTATTTTTGGGTCAGAAAATTTTTCTGCTAAGGAAAATCGAATTTTCCATGTGTTATCCCGAAGAGTCACTCGTAAATTTTCTTTTATTTTACTCAACTTCGATGTACTTTTCAACCCCTTCGAGGTTTGTCTGCGAAAATGGGGCACCTAAATCGTTCACTATCTGACGATCTATAATTAGAATAATATAAATTCAACGATTGTACAAATGAATTAGATATCGATCTTATATTTGCATAATCTCGTATTATACGCGCTGGAACTCAAAAATTGCTTTGGGTGTCCGGCTTATATGTGGGAAATATCCCTTCCCTCCCTACCTCACTTATGGTCACCACCGGTTTTTTAAAAGCACTATAAAAGCCATTTTAAAGCGTTGATTTTATGAAAATTTTCTTGGTAAAAAAAGGTATTGTCAAATGTCGACATGCTGGAGTTTTAAGGACTGAAGCGGCATACGGAAGTATCAACAATTGGTAGGCTGAAGGCTCCCGCCTAAATCGGGGTACCTGGCATCTGGTAACCCTATATGCTCGGTGCAGACACCACTGGTATTAAGTGGTGCTGCGGTGCAAGAGTACCAATGAAATAAGTAGAAACACAATATAAAACATTTGTTAACTCTCATGAATTTAGAAGCAGATTTCTGATGATTTATTATTACACATACTTATAATGGAGTATTGTATATATACAGGGTGGCCATTTTAAAACGAAACAGAACCAATTTTGGGCACCCCACGTCATTTACGAAAAAATACTCATCAATTTTTGATTTTAGGGGGAAACATTTTTTTGCCAGTTTCACCACCTGAACGGAAACCCTCTAGCGGGGTTGGAACTTATCTCTAAAATCTTAAATGTAATATATTATTTTGAATGTATTTTTACCTAGATTATAAACCCCAAATTTTAAATCGCTGTCTTTCTAGCCATGATCTTTTAACGATTTTTATTTTCTTTAAATGCTTACCGTTTACTCGAGTAAATGCTGGAAATGCTGATCCTAGGCCTACATGCAATAAAAGAGGTTTTTTCAAGATACTCTCAAATATTTCGAAGCATCTGAGGGGTTATTTGATGACATTCATCATTTGGCTGGGTGGCATAAATTTTAGTATTTAAGTGGCCCCATAAAAAATCTAACGGGGTTAGATCCGAAGACCTTGGGTACCACTAAATACTTCCTCTTCTTCCGATCCATTGACCTGAAAACTTTTGATCCAAACACTGACGAACAGTCTGTGCAAAGTGGGGTGGCGCACTGTCTTGCTGGAATATTAAGTTCTTTGCTATGTACTGATCGTTATTCTCAATCAACTCTAGTAATGCTGGGTAAATAGCGTTTTCTAATCATTCCAGATACATTTCTGCGGTTAAAGTTTCATGTAAAAAAAATTGCCAATTATACGGTTTTCAGCCGAAACATTTAGTTTTTCCGGATGTTGCGTATGTTCTTCATGACATATTCTGGGATTTAGATCGGACCAATAACGACAGTTATGACGATTTATCGTAACATTTAGGAAAATAGTGCATTCGTCAGAAAAACGCACGCTGAAGAGAAATTGCTGATCATTTATTGCCCGTTCAGTTATTTCACAAAATTGTAATCGCCTATCAAAATCGTCTTCATCAAATTCTTATACCATTGTAATGTGAGCCATTTTATTATTCAGTCATGCTCTAATCCTCCAAGTCCCCCTCTGTCTTATTTGGCCTTTGAGGCTCAACTTATCCGATTATCATACATAATTAAGCCCCTTAAGACCAAACATATATGACGACTATGGCGGAGTCACTTTCGAGATCTTTCCAGAGTGAACGTGATAATGTTTCCAGTATTATTGAGAATTGGTGAATATTCTAGTACCTTCGCCAAAGTTTTAAATTTGTATATAAATATTGGTGGATGTTCAAGCAGGAATTAGTTATATATGGATAATGAAGATAAATAGTGAACAGTTTAAAGACATTCGAAATATATATAAATTAAAATAGTAGTGTTATAAAATAAATAAGTGTTTAAATAAATTAATAATAAATAAACTGTTGTTTAAAATAAACAAACATCACAATATGTATTTTGTAGGGATGAAACTTGTGTTGTTTCAATATCTTCTGAATGGCACTTCTCTTGATACCAGATGTTATCACCAACTGTCTTGTACTCAACGTGGGTTCTTAAACAACATGCCCTTAAATCTCTACCTCTGTAGCTTCATTTACTGCAACATTTTCTATTTCACGTTTCTTGTTAGCTACTGACCACATTTCCCAAAACTTTTGCACTAAATCCAAAATATACTTTCGATGGACTGGTTGATTGTTAAACACTTGGGCAGTTCTATTAGCACATTTATTGTTTGCAAAAAAAGTGAAATTTGCAACCTCTCAGCAGTTGTGTAAACCATTATCACTGATATGTCCCACTTTCATGCTGACTCTACAACGAAATAAACTAAAGCTTTCTACTTTACGGCGACCAAAGAATATCATCTGATAGCAGTAATTTAAAGCCACAGGAATAAAACTAGAATTGTTACAAAAAATTCCTTCTTTTTTTAATAACAATATAAAAATGTTTCCCCCTAAAATCAAAAATTGACTGGTCTGAAAGGTTTTTAGTAAATGACCTGGGTTACTCGCGCGCGCACTACTAAAGAGCTGTTTCTGACTCTAAATGAATAATCTTTTTTAACCGTGCTTGATGATCTGGAGCATCTTTAAAATGTTCTCCCTTCTCTCCTCAAGCATTTGCTCGATAGCATATGTACATAGCTCTTGTCTTGATAATTGTGATCCGTTATTAGTAGTTCTTTTTTGACGTCATAGCGTTTTATACAACAAGAATAATAAACCCTTAAGTTCAATGCGTTGTTAATGACAAGTGACGGCGGCTTTCTTTTTTCACAAAAAATACAGCTCCGAACGATAATATTTTCAGATATTGTTTTTAAAAATGGGTTTGGAGTAGGGTAAAGAATGGTGGAAAGTCTATAGTTTGTTTTACTTTTAATCCATAATATAGTTATATTTAGCAAATATTTATAAGTTATGGACTTTATTTTGATAGTATTTAAAAGCTAAAACGCAAAATACACTCTTTTATTTTTGCACTAATTTTTTCAGGAAACTTGTGTTAATATTTAAAAATGTACTGTCGATGAGGTGGTGCCAATTTGCAACCACGATAATTCCAGACATTCGTTTTATTAATTTCATCGTGTTACGTATTTGTTGACATTAAGAATCTTGTATTATTTTCAATGAAAAATCGTTTTCTAACCTGAGAAAAAAGTTGAGTTGCGTCTTAAGACGAAAGCTTTAATATTTTGCATTAGCATTAGGATTATTGCAACGTGCAACGTTACAGCTCACAACTCTGACAACCAATAAAAAACTTATGTCGCTCTACCAACTTGGGCCACGACAGCTTCTTTATTTCACTCATTGGCACTTTTTCTCCACGTTGTGCTATGGGTGCTCCGCGCCCAGTTTAAAATTGCTCTGGGTGTTTGCGCACCCAGAGCCCCCGGGGATTCGGCGCTTATGTCTCGTGTGATGTACCGTTATCCGTTAATATGGTAGATAAATAATATTATTTTAATTTTTCTAAGGCGGCGTCAGTGAAAAGAGTCTAACTCCATTTAAGGCTATATTACAGGAGGGCAAAAAAACTTATTAACAAAATTTTCTTGGTACACTTACGCTTTTGGAAGTATTTACAACATGTACTAACAGAGTTATTCGTTTTTCCGCAGAAATCAAAATCGAGCGGAGTTAGGAGGATTTATTGACATCATATTAAACAGAAATGTACATTTAGAAGGTTTTCTGACAGGATGAGGTTCTATTTTGATAAAATGTGGAGTTATAAGGTTAACACTTTTCACTGACGAAATGTATTAGCAACAGAATAATTTATAAACACAGGTTTATCATACTTATCGCAATAATTATGTACAAATCTTATTGGTTTATTATTAACGATATATTTTTATTTAATCAATAAAAATTTAAGACAATTCTTGCATATACGCCCCTTTTCAAAAACAAGAATATAAAAAAATGGGCTTTACTTGATGAAAAAATCTCCTTAAAAATTTTGTGTGTCCCTCGGCCATATGATCTTTTTTTGCCTAACTAGAAGCAGCTTGGCCTCAGTCTTGGTACACAAATAACTATTATAACTTAGTAAAAGTCATATATTATTTTTATTAACAAAAAATAATTTTTAATATTTGTAAATTTTCGTTAGTTGGTCGTAGAAAAAATATACTGTACAACTCGAGTGGATTGTCCATATTCACTCTAATTGCACAAACTACTATTGAAGTTTTTGTTTTCTTTACTTCTTTTATCAAAAATCGGTAGACTTCAAACTGAAATATCGTCGTATACCTTGTTACACATGATGACGAAAGTAGTAGTGAGATAATAAAAATGAATAAATTCCATAAATAATTAATCAGCAATTCAAAAATTACTGCAGAGTCTTATTCTCTTATATTCGACGAAGAAAATAGTTCAGCTACACATTTATAATATTGTAGTTATTATTTATTAAATTGTACCTAGGT